GGGGTCGAATTTCTTTGTTCTGTTTTAATGAGAAATACAAAGTATTAGAAAGGTTCCGTTAAATAGAATTAATTATCTTGGAGATGTTTGAGGATAGTCTTTTAGGACTATTCCTATCCAGGATCAATTACTCTCTAATTTCTAATCCACACGCTATACCACGCTACGCTAAAGCTCAATAAATTATATTATTAGAATGAGACCTTTTAAATCATTTTATTTAAACTTTTTCATCGACCGATTAGTTCCTTGAAATTCATTAATCGATCGAGTTGGCGAATAAGTTACTTATAGTTTTGTGGCAATAGAAATCTATGTTGATTTACAGATTTATATCGTTACAATAGCTCTATGTTAAAATGTTTTGATAACTCATACAAATTAATTCAATTGGTGGTGTCAACTACAACAACCCATCTTTGCAAATACTAAAATTAATTTTACTGACAGAACAAATGCAACCAACTTCAAGTTCACATGATGAAACTAAGCTTCGTTATGTGTTAGCAACTAAGTAGTAGTTAGTTAGAGCTTTTAAGCGTCATGTCGAGGCTGATTTCGCAACGTAGTAACATTCAGAATTTAAACAAAAGCGAAGCAAGTTCTGGAATGAAAACACACTTACGGGGAATGCACACCTGTGTAAAACCCACACTTTATTTGGTTGACATCTTTCATGCAAGTTTTTAGAGTGAATAGGTATTATGTTGTATTTATAATTGTTCGAAAAGAATAATTGAATATAACCAACTTAACGTTGTCTAAATACGTGCAAATGTACAACAACAATAAATAAAATGTTTATGGAGGAAAAATGCGTCGACTATATCCTAAAGAAATATCCCAAAGGCTGCACAAAAACACAGCGAGGGCTACCAGAAATGCTTTTGGGTTCGTATAATTTGGTTGAGATCCATTTAAGGATATTGACATAAAAGTAAAAAGGAGGAAAATACCGTGTTATATGACGCCATAATGTTATAAGTTCATTTTAGACGTCCTTGGCAAATAAACGGGTCACTATACAACAAAAAATTTGATTTGATTCCTGTGGGATCATAACAACCTACATGATATAATTATCATCAATCACACGTGAAATAATCAAGAATTACTTGCAAAATCTGCACAGTAATTTTATAACATGAACTTTTTTTATGCATGACAAGGCAGGTATTTGACCACAATCGCACCTGATGTTAAGTGGGATGCAGTCTAGGATGGTACATATCTGCCCTGTAAGTGCATATTCACTCTCGCCTTGAAGAGGCCCGGATTATAGCTACTTCTTATAGAAATAAATACCATACACGTGTACTAGTACCTTTAGTCAGAACTTACACAAAAGCTCGAGATAGGAATGATTGTTTTATGTTTGTAACTTGAGCTAAAGGATCATAGAGTAAACTAAAACTTCTCTTTACTTCCACCTTAAGTTTTAAATAAACATTGTGTTACAGGTACGTGTATGAGTTAAACTTAAACTCTACACGTTGACACTCAAAGCGAGACAGAACATAAACCTAAACATTTTTGCATCTTGTGTTATAGTAAAAAATGCTATACCGCAACAAACTTGTAATTTACTGTTGACTGTACATTGATACTATGTAAAACGGAGGTGGGTGGAGGAGGATCGTCGGTCCACCTACTAGGTGGACCGACGATCTGGAAAAGGTCGCGGGAAGAGCCTGAATGCGGGCAGCAGAACTGCTCATTATGGAAAACCTTAGGGGAGGCCTTTGTCCAGCAGTGGACGTCATTTGGCTGAAACGAAGGAAGGAAATGTATGTAAAAACATACTAGTCTATCCAATATAGCTTGATTAGAATGACAGCTATCATCAAAAGTAACGACATAACTTTGTAGTAGCGATCAATGAGAGCAAAATATTGGCGGACAAGAAATAATTCACGTCTGACCTACAAACAATATTTTCGACGACAGTGCTTCCAATAAAAATGATAATTTAGTGTAAATGCAGCGTTAAATTACACCAATAAGTAGTAATTCGAAGTTATAAAAATCAAGCTAGAGTATTAACGACGTCTCTACAAGGTTATCTCGAGTTACAAAAATGTTAGTGTTGGGACATATCGACAAATGTCATATTAAATTAAAACTATTTTTTGAACATATTTAACAAAATTTTTTTCTAACTCATTTTTTAACATATTTAAGTCAAGTTATACGTTTTTCTAAATGTTCACTATTAAAAACCAAAAAACATTTCATTCTTAAATAATCAAACATCGGAAATCAATCACCGGTAATTTTTTGGGTATTCATAGCACCGTTGCTCTAGAAGAGATGCCCACCGCCCTCTAGCGAGAGGAAAAAACCACTGAAGAACACTGATGATAATGACTACGACTTAGGTTGTACACCCTTGACATGAATTTTAAATTTTACTGTCTTTAAATTTAAATCATAATTGTCATTTTTATGAATAAAGATATCTAATTTTTTAACATATTTAAGTCAAGTTATACGTTTTTCTAAATGTTCACTATTAAAAACCAAAAAACATTTCATTCTTAAATAATCAAACATCGGAAATCAATCACCGGTAATTTTTTGGGTATTCATAGCACCGTTGCTCTAGAAGAGATGCCCACCGCCCTCTAGCGAGAGGAAAAAACCACTGAAGAACACTGATGATAATGACTACGACTTAGGTTGTACACCCTTGACATGAATTTTAAATTTTACTGTCTTTAAATTTAAATCATAATTGTCATTTTTATGAATAAAGATATATGAAGAAAAATTGGGTGCATTTTTTCATATCATTTTTTCGAAAACTTATCGATACATCTATGTGAACCGTACGAAACATACCCATCACTAGTCACATTCGTTTGACAGCCGTCATTCTAATCAAGCTATATTGGATAGACTATAACATATTTATCACTTTTTACACGTAATAAATTCACTTCAATATTCAGCAGCTAGTTGTTTACCTAATTACTTATTATCAGGAAAATGCACACTATGTATAAAATGCACCGCAATTCAACCAAATGAGCAAACCATTAATGAAAGGTTATGTTAATGAAATGATTGCTCATTAAAATGGCCTGCTTTCGGTTTAAAATCTATTGACAGAGCTCATGAATAGCAATCTACTTTCCGCATCAATGGACTACACGTGCTTTAAGCTCCGTTTCCACCAAAGCGGAGCGGATAGAACATGGCGTGTTTTAATTACCAACCAGATTTCGTTATTTCCACATCGCTCAGCTTAACTTCTGTGAAAAGATCGAACGGGGAAAGGAGATATCTCATTTTTCTATAAAATGTTATTATCTCTGATATGCTATGATCTGTGTGCTTACCATGAGTTTACGTTAGGTGTGCTCGCTAACGACTGCTTAAAAAATTACATTTAATGTATGACATATTGTGCAGCGCCCCACCGGCTTCTTTTAAGAAATGAAATCTTCATAGATTTTTTGACGTACTCGCTAGCGTGCACACACACCTAACGTAAACTCATGGTAAGCATACTGATTCTTCTCTCCGCTTTAGTGAAAATAATCTGCCAACTTTGCAGCACACCTCTGGTCGTCTCTCCGCTTTGGTTGAAACTGAACCTTATTCATATTATTCAAACCTACTGTGTTGAGCTGCTGTATTTATTTAGCAACAGTCAACACAACATACGATTACCAGTATAGCACCTTGATATCGAGGTGCTATAGGTGCTATACTGTACATAACAGTATAATGTACAGTAATCTTAACGATGAGTTTATCTATTTTAGACGACAAGGCAAACACACGTATTTTGCGTCGGCTAAACTCGATCTATAGTGACGCGCATCATTGTTTTTCATTTGTGTTACCATTTAGGTATCCTACGATAAAAATCTTTCATAGCGCGCATCTTTGTATGTTATCATTTTTGTTACTATTTCCCTTATGACAAAAACTAGTTTTTGCCCGTGGCCACACTTGCGTGAGTTTCGGTTGACACTTGACATAGAAAGTTAATGATGCGTCGCGCGGTCCAACACTTTATTTCCTAAACGCATTAGGTAGATGTAGTTTCTGTCCTAGTGCGAGAATTTATGGGTTCTCTGGACTTTTATCCTATGCTAGCGGCCGCCCGCGACTTCGTACACGTGGATCCCGTTTTACCCCCGAAACTACACCCCTAAGGGGTTAGGGGTGTAGTTTCGTAAAATCCTTTCTTAGCGGATGCCTATGTCATAACATCTACCTGCATGCCTTTCAGCCCGATCCGTCCAGTGGTTTGGGCTGTGCGTTGATAGATCACTATGTCAGTCAGTCACCTTTGAGTTATATAATTTAGATTTAGATTGAATTCCACACATTTATATTTATTTTTGTGTCAATGTGGAGACCAAACCTCAAAATTAGATTGGAGTGCAAGCAGTTAGTTAGTTGACTTTGTAGTATTACCATAATATAACTGCATTGGTAAAATTGAAGTCACATGAGGTATTTTGAGATATAATTTTATCTCTGTAATTTAAAACTGGGGACCAGTTTTGGTGCTCACAGCTCTTCATTAGTGGGATGTTATTAAAATTAATTGGCATGGATTGTGAAAAGTTTCACACGTACGAGTTTATTCATAACCTCAATTTCTATTCCACTTTGTGGTTTATAATATTATTCTAGGCACGCTTGGCAGGCAATAATACACTGTAATTTACCAGTAATTAAGTATTAATTTTACTTTCACCTAGTGAGAATACACTATTTCACAACTTACAAATCTCATTCCGTGCGGGAAAAAAGATCTAAAATAGTAGAAAAACCTCAACCAAAGCAGAATATAAAATTGTAACAAGCATCCGCTACGAGTATACAGCGGTCATATGCTACCATACTGAGCTACATAATTTCAGCGGGCATACAAAAACTGACTGTGTTGGTTATAAATCGCCGTACATTACGCCAGGCTAAAAGAAACTCTGCCAAACAAGACAGATGGTCGAGCTACGTGCGGTGTTTCTAAATATACAATGGCGTTTGACAGAGAAGAATCACTAGGAAGAATTGATAAGAAGCCCACAATAGCGATGGTTGGAGAATAATTAAAACGCGAGCGCTTTGGTTCTTGAGCTGCCTTTTGTGAGAGAGTTCGATAGCGTATAATTTTGTAATAAAATATCTATTTCGGTTAGTACTGAAAGCAAATAAATTAACGTAGTTTGATAATAAGCATTGTATAAGTTTCACTGCTTGTTAACATGATATGTAATTAATAAGTTTATCTGCTATTTACTTACGATCGCAGTAGTAAAAACTATGCTTAGTTTGGTTTGATTTTTGAAATATTTTTAGGCAGTTTCACAAACTCAAAGACTTGACATTAACGGTAAGTATACCTACCTACCTTACATTACATTAACAATTCTAGTGGTTCACATTATGAGTAATGAATTTTAACTCAAGAATAGCTCAAAGTCTGTTCTGTGGCATTAAATATTAAAACTCAATCAATCAGAGAATAATCTACGCTTGAGTTTGAACCAAGTTTCCAGCGCTAAAATATGGCGGTTAAAAGCGAGTAGCTTCAATATAAACTGACTGTAAACTGTTAGAAATAATATAACATTTTCCTTGTTTGTTTTCCAAAGGACGGACGATATTACGCGTACGCTAACCTAAACATTGACCGAGAAAACCTCGCGTGTTGTAGTAGTATATTAACAGCAAGCTAGTTTTACTTATGAAGTAACATTGTAGTACAGTCAGCACGATAATGAACACATTACTAGACTTTACCCACGTAAAATAGAGCGTACAATAGCTATGGTTTCAAAATTTAGATACACATGGAAATATAAAATTTATCGTGGGAGAGTACAACTTGTAAATCTTGCTATCCTATTTTTATAGAATTAAAACACATAAAACTCATTTATTTTTGCAAATTTACTTTAAAAAGAACTTTTACACGTCCCAGTAGTTTCATTTGAGCCTTTCTTTTGAGAACCTTATAAGTTTTATTTATTGATCATTTAATGGGAATAAACAAAGTTTATGTGGCTCACTAATGGAAATTTTGTGCACTCGTTAACTTAGTTTGTAAACTTTAAATGCAGAAAATATATTAATTTACGAGATCCTTGAGAATTTCATTTTGAAACTGTTAATATTTACGAGAAAACTTAAGATATTTATGTAGTGGTTTGGTATAAAATTCTGCAATTAAAAAGTTATGATGGACTGTCTCTACCCTTGGAACTTTAATAAAAAATGCGCGCATAGAACGCGCTACGAACGCTAGCTTTAGTGATATTTTGTATAGAAATGAAATTTTTAGCAGTTGTTACCGCATGTATAATCTTAGTATTTAAACACCATAATGAAAAAAAATCATTAGTTAAAAACATTTCAGTATTTTCAATAGAAAACGTTTTTTTGCCCATAAAACCATGGCATTAACAGGTCATTATTATTACGCTCATGTCCATTATGTTTTACCCTCTCTTCCTGGGTAATAAACAAAAATAACACCCCATGTTCTCACCATAAAGGTCATATTTATTAAACAACGTTAAGGGCTTTATTGCATAATAAGCTCCTCATATAACTTTATGGCCTTCATACAAATGTGTAAAATATATCTTGAGATATTAAAAGTCATAGATCACAGACATCTGTTACTTTGGGATACTATCAAATAAGCAGTAACAGGAAAGAAGTGTAAGAAAAAACGTGAAATCGAGGGTTTCTTATGAGACGAACAAAATTTGGAAATGCATACAAAAACTATGGAGGAAAATGAAAACTGAAGGGGTGAAAGTTTTCTAATAATAAGTCCCCAAACTATGAGCGGATAGTGAAAAAATCCTTGTAACTGTGTTTACGAATATAAAATGAGAAACAAAACAATATTTTTGGTATCCTATCCCCACAACCAGATGGCTTACATTATTATACCTACATAAGATAGACACTATGTCATATACTGTATTGTGACAATAATACTGTATTGTGACAATATTAACATTCATTACTCAAAAACAGTGTAAGCAGCCTTGGAAACCATACCACTCTACATGATCATATCTTTTCATCTTATTCTGTACCAGATGGGAACTAATGATGTTAGCAATAAGTAACTGGAGGAAACAAAATAATTCTTCACCAATTGACAGATAGATTCAAGCCTAATCATCCTTTAATCTGATTATTATTGTTACACCGAAAATATTTAGCGCAATTTCTTTGGCAATGATAAAGGACTTATGCCCATTTTCACCATCAATTTTTATGTGAGCCCTATAAAAACAAAATGTCTATTATGTGTCACCATAGAGGTCACTTAAAAATTAGGGATTGATGGTGAGAAAGCTCTAAAGGAACTTAAGCGGAAATACTCAAAGTCAAAACGTATACGTCATAGTTTCCCCACGCAATTTACTATTTACCTACTAGGAAAGGTAACGTCCTTTTCAAGGCAACACGAATGTCGCCGACATGTAAACAATAAAGGAAGCCTTGTAAAAACGGAGAACACAATGTGTTGGTACAAAGCAATGTAGCTAAGGTGTTTGTTTGTATATTACTACAGACCCGAGGGTATTACGAGTACGTGAACGTGAACAGGATGCGTGACAAAGTTTTATCAGGTTTTTTGATAAAAATAAAGCAAAGAAATAAAATAGAGTTGGCCATACAGCTTATTTGACTTTTTTAAGCATAAGCCTATGCGCAGACCATCGATTTTTCGTCGGCCGATAGTTTAGTCGGGCAGTTGATCAGTATGGGCAATGGGCATGTATGGAAGTGCGCACATTACGCCGATTCGATTTTGCCGATATTTCATACAATTTAAAATCGGGCACAACTATCGGCCAACTAAAAATCGGTGGTCTGCGTCTAGTCTAAGGCACCACTTTTTTTGTAGCAAAGGCAATCTCAAAATTTTCCTAGAATTCTCGCCGTTACACAATACACACGTATTATATGCGGGCACACTATACAAACGTCATTCATGTAGTTTCTCCGAAACATAATGTGTATGTAGTAATTTGATCAAGGCATTTGTATGGAGTTTCGGTGTAGCCATACAACGAAGTCGCACAACATAGGCTACGCTATCACTGCGGGACGAAATTCAATACTCTATTATGGGGAATGCCTTTGTGAGCAGGAAACGTTTTCCGATGATAAATTATTACATTCGCCCATATAATCAGGATGGCCGGGTTTTATCGGTAGGTAGTATTCTTTTTTTTTTCCACTTTTACGTAATATTAGGCAGGATTTAGATTAGTTCTAAATATTTATCGATGAAAGATTTTGTATTTAATCGGTGAAAACTCTTTTCTTTATCTGTGTTTCAATGACATAAAAAATATGAATTTATTTTATTTTATCAGTTCATGCTGTTTTCTGTAAAAGATTACCTTTGACAAGCTTTTAATCTAAGTGAAAAAAAAAAGTTATGACTGTGCAGTTTAACGGTGTAGCCAAATATTTTGTTTGAAATACGAGAGTTAATAATAATGTCAATCTAAAAAGCTATCAATCCCTTCATAAACTGACTTACCTAATATCGTTTCAGCATAACTCATACTACCTTACTTGTTTGTGAATATAACGTTACTTCTTTGTGTGTTGAATATGAAAACAAAGAAAACTTAAAAGTGTAATAACAGAACCTATTCAACGTTTTATCTAATCCCACATATTGACAAAGAATAATATGAATCTTCCAAACATCACTTAACGTTTAACACAAAAACTCAATAATGTTGTAAAATGCCAATATGAATACCGACTGTGTGTGTGTGTTGCCAGTGATGGTATACGGTACTGAGACGTGGTCGCTTACTATGGGCCTCATAAGAAGGCTCAAGGTCACACAAAGAGCGATGGAGAGGGCTATGCTCGGAGTTTCCCTGCGTGATCGAATTAGAAATGAGGAGATCCGCAGGAGAACCAAAGTAACCGACATAGCTNTTCAGCAGTGGACGTCCTATGGCTGAAATGGTGGTGGTGGTGGTGGTACATATACTGAAAATGTATCATTAGAAATCAACTACGGGGGCTAAGGAGATAAAAGGAGGGTTGGAAGTTTATATTATGAAAAAAAAAGTCCTATGTGTTTAAAGTAAGAGAGTTGAAATTTTAAATGTATGCGCCATAGATGCTAAGAGCGGATTTTACGAAACTCCACCCCTAATGGAGTAAAACGAGGTCCACGCGTACGAAGTCGCGGGCGGCCGCTAGTTATTTATTTTAGCCCATGTTTAACTGTAGGCGTCTTGCGGTTGAAATCTGTATGCGGTTGAAGGCCAAGAGCTTACTCGTTGTGGATAAAAAAACTGATGATGATGTTGAGCACAAACTGACATTCTAGTCTTTATTGTAAACTAATCTTACGTCGAGTACCTCGAACCTCGCATTGAAACTCCTGTCAAGTGATGTCCAAATAATTTTCAAACCAAAGAAAAGGCGGCCAAATCTTTAAATCCATTTGAAGGCAACATCGATCCTGTGGGAAGTGTAGGTGAAATCCTCCATTTGCCTCTGGTAAATTAAAGATGATTTACATCCTACAGCGGACACTAGCCTGATGATAGTGGTGGTGATGAGGATAATGCCCTTCTTCACCGGACCGTCCTTATGGAAATCCTTGGGGTAGGCTTTTGTCCAGCAGTGTACGTCATTTGGCTGAAACGAACGAACGAATGAACATTCCTCGCAAGTTTTTTGAGATCCTTCTGTATCCGATTCTATTTTAATCGTTAGGCGGGTCGTCTCGGACATTCTAATAACATTAACCCTTCCGAATTCGTCGGCGATCCCGGAAATAGGAGTGTTTTATTTGTTTTATTGGGGATCACTACATCGTTAAGCAGTAGTTAGAGCACGAATACACGTGGGGTTACGTTGGCAGCTGTTCGCAGCCGAAAAGTCGAGTTTAATTAAAAATAGAGAGGTCGTTCGCGTTTCGCGTTGCATGAACTCTCGTCTTTTGGTGTATTTACGGGTTTATGCATAACTTTATTTTGATGTAGAGTCAGCCTGACTGAAAATTCAGATCATGCAACTTATATTTTTTGTAGAATTAAGTTTGAATGCGGTTTCGTGGATTCTATTGGTTATATGCTGGATTATTTCTATACAATTTCTTAATCAGTAAATAGTTACTAGTCAATGTTTTTAGGATAAATCAACTGTCACTGTAATTAAACTCAGATTTAAAACAGATTTCCAAGTAAAGTTGTGATGCTAATACTCGTACCTGCTGCAGTACCTACTCCACACAGGGTTTGTAATTATACAATTAATAGGTGATTCTACCACACACCTGTAACATTATCGTATAGGTAACAATAATAACTATGGAAAGGTAAACAACTTATACATAATCAATAAGTGGTACATACTGTGTACTTACTTAGTAAAGTATTGGTGTATAATATCGCTTTCAGTAATATTCCAGTATTTTAAAGAACCTCTTACCAATTACTTATTTCTATTCCTGAAAACCGATTTAGTTTTAAGTTGACTATACTAAATTTTTGGCAGCTTTAATAGGAGTCGTGTGTGTACAGCCTAAAATAAATATCAGATTGTAATTGATTTAGCAATGTAACGTAACGTATTTAAGAATATTTTCAACTAAGAAAATGGTCTTAGTCTGTCCGTCCGATTTCAAGAGAAGGCACAGGCGTCTGACATAAAGGATCAACTGAACCAACGATAAACGCGTCTGGAACTAAGAAACATCTTAGGTCTAAGAACAATTCTGAGAAATAGCTCCAGCCAGAACTACCTTCTACGAAACACGTCACTGAACTGAATCAGGGACGTCACTAAAGAGATATTTATTGCCAAATTACTCTTTGATTCAGAAACCTACGAGTGATTCGTGAAAATTAATCAACTAAATGAGTCAGTGGGCAAATGAGATGATTTATATAACAACTTCCTAATTTATGGAGCTTATAATTTGATTTCTCGATATTTGTGGCCATTAATCACGGTGTAATTAGCGATAAGGCTCTGGACTGGCGTTTGCTAAAAATGTTATTTGTTGAGGAATAATGGTTAATTAGGTACACGTGTTTCAGTATAAGAAACCTAATTTCATTTCACGAAAAATAAAGAATGATTTGTTAAGTAAATTAATAACTCAAGTTTTTACGAGTAATTTCGGGTCCGTTTGATAGAAGAATATTCGTTGTCGTTACGTGTCGTATGTACCTTTATGGTACAGTCGGCCTCAAATAGTTCGTGACACCCAAAGTAGCCAATACGTTCGCAACACGTCTTTACTACGATTGGAATAAGATTGTGTTGTTAACTTTTTGGCCCTTTTGGTGTCACAATTTTTGATGCTGACTGTACCTAATGGCCACAACTTTCGTGTCAGGTCTTACGAGCCTCTATGGGCGTCTGACAAGACCTAAATAGACCGACAGCTTAGCGTACCTTTTGAATTACAGTCATTCATTTTATAGATGTTACATCCTACCTAAAGTGATTCTACGTTTCACATTCCACCACCAAAGAGTCGATCCCAGAAACTCCGAATCAAGAAAGTCCCATCCTAACCACTCGATCATTGAAGCATGTATTGGCCTTTACAGTACAAACATTGTGTTAACACAAAATTATTCTTCATCTACAATGAGGAAGTATATTGAGAATTCCATGTTAGTCCCACGAAAAGGTTGTTACATTGGGGACCAGTAATAACCTCTACAGTATTATGGATGAGTTAACAATAAAGGATGGTAGGAATGCGGACCAATATTGCGTTACAACATTCTATCACGCATTATTCCGACCCCACGACTTAAATGACATCAAAAACTTCTACAAAAGATCCTTCTGACTCCCAAGGGACCCTGCCCGGAGAGGCTTAAGTTATTTTGCACATTCTGCACGGCTACGTAAGTTAAATGGAAGGTTTTCCATTCCTTCGAGACTTAAGCCACAACATTTAAGCTGTGCTTAAATGTTGTGGCTAAATGAGAATTAGGGACGGAGATTTTCATATTTAAAGCTGCCATAAGTATACAATTCTACATTACGTTATTTACAGTGACGTAGGTAAATACTACTAATACGAAACTACCGATAAATTAGTATTGGAAAATCAAAAACGCTTAGTCAATGCTTTAAAATGCCTTATTTTCATAAAAGTCCTAAAAACTATTGATTTTATTTTTTAACTAGAAATCTATCTTATTAAATTTCATGCCTACTCAACTGAATAGCAAAAAGTGACACTGTAAACTTACTGAAACTAACATATGTATAGAAACATCTTGAAGTACCTTGAACAAATCCAGCGTCCCATGCATTTTTTCGGCGGAATGGGCTAAGGAATGGGCCAAAGCCAAGGAAGCTGCTTATTTGGATATTCGAAGTAACCGGTCATTATGATTAGTAGATTCAAAATTATTTTAGTATATTTTTTTAAATTAAATCTACTAACCACAAAACAACACGCATTTTTATCCTATACCATTCAAAAAGTATTTTGTTTGTCTAAATAAAAAAAAATTACAATCACAATACTAGATAGAAATTCTAAGTAGACAGATGTAATTAGAATGGGTACTGTAGGTGAGCAGCCCTATCGCATGTTGTCATACCGTGACGTACCACGGGGCTGTTGACATTTATTTCAAAAATATGGCCGAGTTGGAATACTGTATAGATAGTATTACCGTGACCGTGACGCCCCTCATGATATCATGTCTCGCGTATCTTGATACTTCATCTTTCCCCTGATACCTACATCTCCTGGAATTACAACCTACTGATACCCAATCCTCCTCATGATCCCATAATACCCATCTCGCCCTGTTATGTTAAAGATGTAATGTGACATAAAGTTAGCAGGGAGGCACTGGATGCAGACCGCTACCAAACGCGCGATATGGAAATCATTAGGGGATGCCTATGTTCAGCAGTGGACGTCTTGTGGCTGAAATGATGATGACGACACTAATCTGAAAATATACTTCAATATTATAAAAATCTCTCTTTTACAGGTGTGGAATACATCATCGTGCGAATTCGTTCGGACGCTAAACGGACACAAGCGCGGCATCGCGTGTCTGCAATACAGAGACCGGCTCGTCGTGTCCGGATCTTCGGACAACACGATCCGGCTCTGGGACATTGAGTGCGGACAGTGCATTAGAGTGCTTGAAGGACACGAGGAATTGGTGCGGTGTATACGGTGAGTGTTCTGTCTTTTTCGCACGCGTTAGTAGCACGTATGAGCGAGCGAGACGCCGAGTGCTCGCTTGATACTAGCGCCCGTATTCACAAACATTACTATGAGGTCTCACAGTGCGCGTGGACGCACAGGAACCAATCACAGAGTTCTATTCAACGCTGTGCGTTCGATTGGCTGCTTCACTTAAGTAAGCATCGTTTGTGAATACGGGCGTTAGTCTCTGTCGCACGTCTATTAGCTGTAAGCAAGCAAGAGTTGCACCATCTTGCCTTAACAAACGTCAAAATTCTGTCAAACTCCATTTAAAAAACACTGGATATGGTTTACGTAAGATGGTGCAACTCAACCTAAATATCGGTCTGAAAGCTATCACATTTTATTGCGTATCTCGCAATCAAAAAAGTTTGGAGACCACCAAAACTAATGATGTTGTTCTATTGTTATAACCAATATAAAAAAAAAAAACTTTTTTTTAAAGATAATTATTAGTAATTTGTTATTACACAAATCACTAATAGTCCCATTAGCCCCTCGTACTAAGCTAAATATGCTTGTCCCGAGTGAGCTCACCACAATAGTCGAGCGGCGGCGGTGACCGACCGAACCCGCGTTCCCCGGATCACGAGTCGGCCAGTCCGACCCCTTCAGGCTAAGAACTCATGGCGCGATTTTCACCCGCGCCCGCGGCGGCTGCAGACCGTGAGTTCTTAGAATAACCGCGCAAATAACCGCGCAAATAACCGCGTCGTGAGTTTTGAAATAAAACCGCAATTCCACAACCGCTGCGGGCACGAGTGAAAATCGCGCCGTGAGTTCTTAGCCTCACCGTTCGGCTCTCGTGGTTTCTCTTGGTGAAAGTTCTCATTTAATAGTAGTCAGTAGTAATCCCGTCAATAATAATTATTCTCCCAGTATCTATTTTCACATATCGCACCCTTAATAATATAGGGGCACAACTCAAAATTTTTGGTTTTTTACTTTTTGTACTAGAGAGGCATATTTTCGTCAGTTCTACAAGATGGCTTTCACAGAAATCGAAAACAATGATCAGATAAAAGAGTTCTACATTTTGTGCCCCTTCCATACTTTCATCTATCTTCCCGCTAGAAGGGCTGAATCAGAGACATGCCGATATTTGTCGAATCCGGCCCCGCGACTGTGGTCCAATTTGGAGTTGTGCCTTTGTGTGACAAACTTTTAAGTAAGTGTTAGTGAGCTAAGTCTAATTAATTCCATATATTTCTAATAATATGTTACATTTTCATTTTTATTACATTGATAAGGNAAGTGATTATCCTGAACAAATCCATAACAGAAAACCTTACAGAAAAAGTTTTTGTAGGTTTTTTCTTTATTTGATAAAAAGCATATTTTTTATAGGGTAAGAGTCCCTATCTATCTAAGTAAAAATATTTTGAATGCATAAAATTAGTATTTTCATGTCGGTTTTCTCAGAGAAATAGCTAATAGTCTTTATTTTAATCTAATTCGACATATCTAATAATTTTCTAGTATTCAGCACCCTACTCTTATACTGAATTGGCTATAAGCTACTATACCGCACAATAACTGTCCCCAATGTTATTGGGCGTAAATCAATATAAAAATCGAATAATACACTTATTTTTAAATATTAGAGAGCAATATTAGGGAATATGCCATATAAAACAATTCAGCCTAAGGATTAGATGGGCACAAGTACAAGTAATACCCAAAATCACAACAACAGAAATAGTAAAATAAAGGCCTAACTTTGAAATATTTTTTTAAACAATTTTTTTACATACTCATAATCAATATTTTCAAAAATGTCTTATGTCAAATTATATAACAGATACCAGTGATGAAGTATGCTTAATTTGAAAGTTATAGCTGATAAAATAAAGATTTTAGAGCCAATTATGTAAAAAACCGCGATCCGCCGATTGGTTTTTTGGCTTTTCCCAAAAAACTGAATTTTGGAGTTGTGCCCATTCATTATTAAGGGTGCGATATGTACCATAAATTGTAATTCCATTGCAGATTCGACAACAAGCGGATAGTGAGCGGCGCGTACGACGGCAAAATCAAAGTGTGGAATTTACCCGCGGCGCTCGACGTCAGAACGCCGCACCAGGATCTCTGCCTACAGACGCTAGTGGTGAGTGTATACAGCAAAAATCATCATCATCATCATTTCAGCCATAAAACGTCCACTGCTGAACATAGCATAGGCCTCCGCGTTTCCCTGCTTCCTATATGATGTCGTCGGTCCACCTAGTGGGTGGACGTCTCACGCTGCGTTTTCCGGCACGCGGCCTCCATTCCAGAATCTTGTTGCCCCATCGGCCGTCAGTTCTGTGTACTATGTGCCCTGCCCACTGCCACATCAGCTTGCTAATCCGTCGGGCTATGTCAGCGACTTTAGTTCGTTTACAGCAAAAATAATCTATACTTACTAATATTATAAAGCTGAAAAATTTGATTGTTTTGATTGTTTGGTTGAACGCGCTAATCTCAGGAACTACTGGCCTGATTTATCGAGAAAGGCCTTAGGTTATATGACATCACCATACAGCCAGTATGGGCGGAGCAGTAAAGAAAAGTGTTGCAAGAACGGGAAATATTCAAATTATTTTCACGCGTACGAAGTCACGGACACGGCTAGTAAATAATGTCTCTGTGGGATCGACGATTCATGAAATGATGGATCTAGTGAAGGTTTCGAAAAGCACCTGGATTCTGGTTCTAATCGACTGGAATGTAGTTTAGTTGAACCTATAAGACATAAGTTACACCAAATGAGATACGCCTGTAGGTAACGATGGTACAAAAAATATATATTTACGCCTTTACGTTAGCTATGAATTGACGTAGCATACTCAGCTTTACTATCATACTCTGACTTTTTGACTCATGCCGAGTTAAACACCTTTTTGACAACACATTTTGCTTTATACTTATTTACTTTTTATGTAACTTTTACCATTCTGTCTGCCAGATAAAAAAAAAATATCTTCTAAATATTGTTTATATAAAGTTTTTCTACTCCGTTCCCCAAACTAGTATCGCTAACAAGTCCCATTGCCCCCAGGAGCATACAGGACGAGTGTTCCGGCTCCAGTTCGACGAGTTCCAGATCGTTTCGTCATCGCACGACGACACCATCCTCGTGTGGGACTTCCTGAACTACGGCGGCGCCTCGCCCGCCGCGCCGCCCGCGCCGCCGCCGCGCCCGCGGACCCCCGACCACGACCGGGACCTGTTCGACTAGGTGGGTTGCTCAAAACAAAAAATAACGGACGAAAACACTTGAAAACTCACATAAACTTGCCAAAAACAAAAGAAAAACGAAAATAAGTCACTAAAATAAGCACTTAAACGGACTAAACTGCCAAAAAGAAAAAATAAATACAAAAAAATAAAAAAAAAGTCGCTAAAATAACCATTCTGCGCGCGCTAGAGCGCTAAAAATATCCAAAAAGAAAGAAAAATACTGAAAAATATCAAAAAGTCACTAAAATAGGCACACCTGTGTACGCTAGAGCGCTTAAAACCTACAAAAATACGTAAAATAATCAAAAAGTCACTTAAATAGCCACATCGTGAGCTCTAGAGATGTGTAGATCCGCAGAAAAATATAAAAGACACTAATAGTCACGCTAGATCGCGGTTGACAACCCAAAATGACACCTAGAAACATAAAGACTGCCTCAAAGGCTCGCCCGCGCTCTATAAGTCTACTCAGTCCAACACTCGTGTCGTCATCGCACGACGACACCATCCTCGTGTGGGACTTCCTGAACTACGGCGGCGCCTCGCCTGCCGCGCCGCCCGCGCCGCCGCCGCGCCCGCGGACCCCCGACCACGACCGGGACCTGTTCGACTAGGTGGGTTGCTCAAAACAAAAGAAAAACGAAAAAAAAGTAACTAAAACTTGCTGAAAACAAAAGAAAAACGAAAAAAAGTCACATAAATGGACTCTGGACTTACAAAAAAGGAAGAAAAGAAACAAAAAATAAGGAAATACACTAAAATAGTCGTGCCTAAGGTCGCTCGACTACGACCGGGACCTTTTTGACTAGGTAAGTTTTCTGAAAACAAAAGGAAAACGAAAAATAGTCACTAAAATAAACACTTAAACGGAATAAACCGCCAAAAAGAAAAAATAACGAAAAAATATAAAAAGGTCGCTAAAATAACCATTCTGCGCGCGCTAGACCGCTAAAAATATCAAAAAAGAAGGAAAAATATCAAAAATTCACTAAAATAGGCATGCTTGTGTACGCTAGAGAGCCAAAAATATTACGAAAAGAAAGAAAAAGAAGAAAAAACATCATAACCTGCAGAAAAATATAAAAGACAATAATAGTCACGCTAGAGCGCGGTTGACAACTCAAAATGACACATACATAAAGACTGCTTCATTATTCTCGCTTTTCTCCCGCGCTCTATTAGTCCACTCAGTCCAACACTCGTGTCGTCATCGCACGACGACACCATCCTCGTGTGGGACTTCCTGAACTACGGCGGCGCCTCGCCCGCCGCGCCGCCCGCGCCGCCGCCGCGCCCGCGGACCCCCGACCACGACCGGGACCTGTTCGACTAGGTGGGTTGCTCAAAACAAAAGAAAAGCGAAAAAAAGTCACATAAATGGACTCTTGACCTACAAAAAAGGAAGAAAAGAAACAAAAAATAAGGAAAAACACTAAAATAGTCGTGCCTAAGGTCGCTCGACTACGACTGGGACCTTTTTGACTAGGTAAGGTTTCTGAAAACAAAAGGAAAACGAAAAATGACACCTAAATCAATACTAAAACGTCAAAAAACTAATTTCAGCGTACTCTAGAGTGCCAAAAATGCGAAAAAACAAAAAAAAAGCGAAAAATATAATAAAAAGACACTAAAATAGACATCCCACGGGTGCTAGAACGCCAAAAATATTCAAAAAGAAAAAAAAAGAAGGAAAAATATCAAAATGTCACTAAATCAAGCACGACTGTGTACGCTAGAGTACCAAAATTTTTAAAAGAAAAAATAATCATATAGGTACACCCCGAGGACTCTTAAAAATGTGTAGATCCGCAGAAAAATATAAAAGACACTGAATAATCACGTTAGAGCGCGGATGACAACCCAAAATGACACCTAGAAACAAAGACTGCCTCAAAGACTCGAAAGACTCCCCCGCGCTCTACAAGTCCACTCAGTCCAACACTCGTTTCGTCATCGCACGACACCATCCTCGTGTGGGACTTCCTGAACTACGGCGGCGCCTCGCCCGCCGCGCCGCCCGCGCCGCCGCCGCGCCCGCGGACCCCCGACCACGACCGGGACCTGTTCGACTAGGTGAGACCCTTGGGACCCTTGGATTACACCTGAGAGAACTGAAAACAAAAAAAAACGAAGAAAAATACTTAAAAACTAACTTCAGGGCACTCTAAAGCGCCAAAAATGTACAAAAACACAAAGAAAAAGCAAAAATAAAATAAAAAGACACTAAAATAGACATCCCACGGGTGCTAGAACGCCAAAAATATTCAAAAAGAAGGAAAAATATCAAAAAGTCACTAAAATAGGCACGCTTGTGTACGCTAGAGTGCCAAAGATATTACGAAAAGAAAGAAAAAACATTATAATCACCCCATAGAAAAATATAAAAGACACTAATGCCCGTTTTCACCATCAATCCCTAATTTTTAAGTGACCCCTATGGTAACACATTATATGAATTTTGTTTTCACAGGGGTCACTTAAAAATTAGGGATTGATGGTGAAAACGGGCATAATAGTCACGCTAAAGCACGGTTGACAATCCAAAATGACACTATTCTCGCTACTCGCCCGCGCTCTATAAGTCTACTCAGTCCAACACTCGTGTCGTCATCGCACGACACCATCCTCGTGTGGGACTTCCTGAACTACGGCGGCGCCTCGCCCGCCGCGCCGCCCGCGCCGCCGCCGCGCCCGCGGACCCCCGACCACGACCGGGACCTGTTCGACTAGGTGGGACCCTTGAATTACAGCTGGGAGTGTAAAAAATAAATAAAAAACGAAGCAAAAGAAAGAAAATCACGTAAAAGTGGACTCTAGAGCGACATGGACCTACAAAAGAGGGAGAAAAGAAACAAAAAATAAGAACGGACCGGGACCTTTTTGACTAGGTAAGGTTGCTGACAACAAAAAAAAAACGGACGAAAACACTTAAAAACTCACATAAATCCACCTCAGAGTGACATGAACCTACAATAAAAAGAAAAGAAAAAAAAAGCACTAAAATAGTCACATAAGCGGATGTACAAGAAGATTTTAAAAAAATGAAAAATTATGATAAAATTAACTAAATTGTCAACCTCCTGCATGCTTCAGTGACGAATCTGCAGAAAAACAAAAAATAAACTAATAGATTTAGTTTAAGACGAAAAATAGGGTAAACCACCCAATTATTGGCACTTTATTGACTGAGCAAAAAGCGCCATCTATTGCAAATTAATTCAAAATCACGCCAATAGATGTCGCCAGTGGTATCCTAAATCCAAATATCGAGAAGAAATATCAATTTGTGAAAACAGCCAAAACTGCAACGCTACAAAGTGCGCACATTACGCCGATTCGATTTGGCCGATTCTTAAGACAATTTAAAATCGGGCTCAACTATCGGCCAACTAAAAATCGGTGGTCTGCGCCTAGTCTAAGGCACCACTTTTTTTGTAGCAAAGGCAATCTCAAAATTTTCCTAGAATTCTCGCCGTTACACAATACACACGTATTATATGCGGGCACACTATACAAACGTCATTCACGTAGTTTCTCCGAAACATTATGTGTATGTAGTAATTTGATCAAGGCATTTGTATGGAGTTTCGGTGTAGCCATACAACGAAGTCGCACAACATAGGCTACGCTATCACTGCGGGACGAAATTCAATACTCTATTATGGGGAATGCCTTTGTGAGCAGGAAACGTTTTCCGATGATAAATTATTACATTCGCCCATATAATCAGGATGGCCGGGTTTTATCGGTAGGTAGTATTCTTTTTTTTCCACTTTTACGTAATATTAGGCAGGATTGAGATTAGTTCTAAATATTTATCGATGAAAGATTTTGTATTTAATCGGTGAAAACTCTTTTCTTTATCTGTGTTTCAATGACATAAAAAATATGAATTTATTTTATTTTATCAGTTCGTGCTGTTTTCTGCATAAGTTTTTTGAACTGGTCATTGACTTTTATTGAATTATATTACGTTTGACAAGCATTTAATTGAATTGAAAAAAAAAAACATTAAGTTATGACTGTGCAGTTTAACGGTGTAACCAACTATTTTGTTTGAAATACGAGAATTAATAAATTCAACGTTTTATCTAATCCCACATATTGACAAAGAACAATATGAATCTTCCAAACATCACTTAACGTTTAACACAAAACTCAATAATGTAGTGAAATGCCAATATGAATACCGACTCCTCAGGCATTTTTGGCTGGTGCGTGGGACTTTCATAGACATGACGTGCTTGTGCGTACACGCGGAATTTCATATTTGAAAAGTTATTCTTTCAGCGCTTTATTTACCTACTCTGAAAATAGAAAAGTTTGTGGCATCTTGTTGCAGCTTTTTAACTCTGCATCTGACAATCAAATTGTTTTTCAACATTATGGCTGAGTTGCACCAACTTACTTTAACCGTAACTATGACAATAACCGGTGGCTTTTGTATGGAGTTTGACTTTTTGACGTTTGTTAAAGCTAAAGTAAGATGGTGCAACTCAGCCTATTAATTGAAGGCAACGGTGAGCAAAATCGTTATTAAATTATTTTCGAAAAAAATCCATCTTATAAGCATGTAAGATCTTGCCAATGTTAATGGGTTAAAGATCCTGTTGGTGAGTAGTTCATTGATTGTTGGTGAACGGTTTCACAATTCCACTTAGGGCGCCTTTAATATGGTGAGGAAACGATGCAGTGACGTCAGTAGCACGCTTGCAGCACTTCTACTAGTTTTCATACAATGTCTACAAGCGCTTGCAGCGCCACTACCCTGACAAGCGCGAAAAATAGTCTCGCGCCTCTAATTTGAAGGCGCCCTTAGACAGGTATAAATAGTAGAAAAAAAGTTCATGTAACAAAATTCTAGGAAAGTAATTGAATGAAAATTGACCACAGTAGATCAACGATAACTTTAACTCGTAGTAGTTAACCCAATATTTTAAGTGGGTCAATAAAACGATAACCATCATAACTGACTGGATGTATTAGCAAATTGGATAGTAATTAAATATTCCTTTTGCATATTTTTGACATGTGAATTGTTTATTAGAATCTATAGAGTCGTGTATCTGTACTATCTGTGTCACGTAAGATACGACTCTAAACAAGTCTCAAACTAAGTGAACATTGTACTAAAATTGTGATAAATATACCACATAAGTAAGTAGACAGAACAAACTCTCACGTCTTTAAAAGGCACATCTTTCATCAGTAAATTCATTATAAAAATGTGTACAAACTTATTTTGCTCTGAAAGAGTCTACCTAAATAAGAAAAATGCTTATGATTTTTCTTATTTAGGTAGACTCAACAAGACACAAGATCCAAAGAAAGTCCTATGAAAATAGCATTAGGTGTTCTAAGGGGCGTTTCATTTGCTGTTCTATGCTCGTTAGAACAATGGAGTAAGGTTGACCAGAAACCAATCTGGAAATCATAGTGGGAGCTACATATACACAACATAGACCATGTTTAATTAACTGTAGGCGTCTTGCTGTTGAAATCTGTGTGCGGTTGAAGGCCAAGAGCCTCCTCGTTGTGGATAAAAAAAATGATGATGATGTTGAGCACAAACTGACATTCTAGTCTTCATTGTAGACTAATCTTACGAGTACCTCGAATTCACAGCACTGTAACTCCTGTCAAGTGATGTTCAACGATTTTTCAAGCTAGAGAAAAAGAGACCAAATCTTTAAATCCATTTGAAGTCTACATCGAACCTGTGGCCAGCAGCGTGGGAAGTGTAGGCGAAATCCTCCATTTGCCTCTGGTAAATTAGAGATTATTATCACCCTACAGCGGACACTAGCCTGATGATAATGATGATGATGGTGTTAGTGATCAGGATAATAAAGGCTACATAACACCCTTCTTCACCAGACCATTCTTCGCAGGACCGGTCTTATAGAAATCCTTGGGGGACGCCTTTGTCCAGCAGTGGACGTCATTTGGCTGAAACGAATGAATACCCTTCTTCAATGTTATGCCAAGCTTACACACATTCCTCGCGGGTTTTTTGCGATCCTTCTGAATCAGATTCCATTTTAATCGTTAGGCGGGTCGCCTCGGACATTCTAATAACATTAACCCTTCCGAATTCGTCGGCGATCCCGGAAATAGGGGTGTTTTATTTGTTTTATTGGGGATCACTACATCGTTAAGCAGTAGTTAGAGCACGAATACACGTGGGGTTACGTTGGCAGCTGTTTTCAGCCGAAAAGTCGAGTTTAATGAAAAATAGAGAGGTCGTTCGCGTTTCGCGTTGCATGAACTCTCGTCTTTTGGTGTATTTACGGGTTTATGCATAACTTTATTTTGATGTAGGATCAGCCTGTCTGTAAATTCAGATCGTTCGTTCGTTCGTTCGTTTCAGCCGAAAGACGTCCACTGCTGGAGAAAGGCCTCCCCCAAGGATTTCCACAAAGACCGGTCCTGCGCCGCTTGCATCCAGGTACTTCCCGCGACCTTCACCAGATCGTCGGTCCACCTAGTGGGAGGCCTGCCCACGCTACGTCTTCCAGCTCGTGGTCGCCACTCAAGAACTTTCCTGCCCCAGCGGCCATCAGCTCTTCG